TTAAGAGTATGTGTTTATATAAAATACTCAAAGTACTCTATGATTCACTGCCACATTCACCACCACAACTGCACCTCAGATGCACACCACTCTACTCCCCACCCCCACCCTACACTTCCACTTCGCCGCCCTTCCACACCACCCTTCCGCATTCGCCATGCACTCACCGCGGCAATCCACCCCATCCCCTCCAACACATCCATCCCACCAACCCTCATGCTTAACTCGCTCATCACTGCACCCAAGCCCCCCACCCCCACTACCCCTTTCCACTTCACGAGACTCAAAACTACTTGCCACAAATGCTTGTCACTGCCACACCCGACCCACCCACACGGCCCCACAACTCTGCACCCTGCTCTCCGTCACATCTGCACGGCTATCGACTCAACCACGCGCCCACCCTCCCCCCCCCCTTCACCACCGTCACCGCCACCAACAACCCACCAAAGCCCAGGCTCATGACACGCACCGAACCATCTGCCGAAGCGGAAGCAACGTGGCTCTGCGAGTACAACGGTACCGCTAGATCCGTCACCTCCTCCTCGTGCTGCCCGATCAACGTCACGCCCTCCACCAATCCCTTCATCTCACACACCACCGGCTCCTCTGTCGTCGGAACCCCCGCGGGACCCGCTTTCTCCAACTTCTTCAGATCCATCGACAATATGTACTTCCCCACCGCCACCAGCAGAGTGTCCTGCATCACCCGCACCCCACTCTGTCACTCCTGCTCACTCCCCCACTCTCAAACACCCCGCTCTTGCCTCTCAACATCCCACTCACCTTTCCCACACCTTCCACCCACAACACCCACATCCACACCCCGTCCCGCTCCCTTCTTCCCCGCTCTCACATGCACTCGCCCCGACCACACCGTCGCCATACCCACATCACACGCCAATGCACACCACTCCCACCACACATCTCACTCATCTCTGTTCCTGTACGCCCGCACTCCATTTCCTACCAACCACACCCCAATCCTCACTCACTCGCACTGCATGGCTTGTGCACCCTTACGCTGCCACGCTCTCAACTACCCACACTGTCCCAAAAACTGCACCTGCGTCTGCCAGCAGATTCGTGGATTCGTCGACTCCCAGTCGCCGATGAAGTGTACCGCTGCCACGATCTGATCCTGTATAAACGGCTTCCCATCCTTGTCGCGCGACTCCACGATCAGCCTCACGAACACTCTTCCGTCCGTACTCGCGCTGAACATGCAAAACCATCCCAACTCACATCAACCACTCCCACTGCCACACTCACCCACCCGCATTTCACCAAACCGATCCAACTCAACACTCTCCCACTCCCAACCATCCTCACGCGCCCGGCGGGCTATCCAAACCACTACTCAATACCATCACATCGTCGTATATGTCACCTTGCAAATTTATTCACGTTCTCCGCGAAGAAAGCCATGTCCGTCACCCTCTGCCAAACCACTCAAAACCCACTGTCAGCCAAACATTACCCCGTTGCACCCCCTCCACGCTGTCATACTACTACCGCTCGCACACCGTCTCCCCGACAAACCTCCCACCACTAAGCACCACACCCGACTCACAACTGCACGGAACCGCCCAAACTGACATCGCCGCCCATGCCCGCCACTCATAATCACCGACATGGCAATCTCTGACACACACACACACACATATACAGAGAAACGATAACCAAAATGCCCCCGCTGCTTCACATGGATTTCACCGCCACACACTCCCCCCCCCCCTTCCCTTACCTCACCGTGCCCCCGCAGCAGCGTCTTCGATTCTGCTGTCGGGTTGATTATCCGAATATTCGCCCCTCGTAGCCCATAGCAGATGAAATCCTTGTTCACTGCTATTTGCCTTCCCAATATCGGCTCCGGGTCCGACCCGTATGCGCAGATCGATCGAACCTCCAGCTGAGGCTGCGCTTCGTCCGCCCTCCGCACGTCCACGTCGTACACGATCCGCTCTCCCTGCAGAACCCTCCCCCGCGGCAGCTTGCTGTCCTGCAGCGCCTTCGGCAAACCTGCGGGAACCGTGCTGCTCGCCACCGTGCCCGCACTCGCCATCGTCATCGCCGGCGCTTTCGCCCCACCGAACTTCCCCTCCGACGCCGCCACTTCCAGCTCCGGCACCACGCTCCCCGCCGCGCCATCGCCCCCACCCTCCGCCGCAGACTGTGTCGTCAGAAGAGCCATCAGCCGGGCGCCGTCCAGCGGTGAGCTCGACACTCCCACCGCGCCCCTCTCTTGCCCGACTGACGCCCCCGCCGCGCTCGACGCTGTCGGCGACGGGTGGGAGCCACCTCCGCCACCCAGCGAAAAATCGCCCGCTTTCGGAACAGGCAGCGGACCGGGGGCACCACCGCCCCCCGCATACCCACCACCCCCCTGTCCGCGATCCCGTGCAAAGTAGAATGGGTTCGGAATTGCACCCGCTCCTTGGGGCACGTTCGCCGCGTTGAACATCGCCCCACCGCCTGGAAGCGGGGGGAACGAACTCGACTTCGGCGCAACGCTCGCACTCGGGGCAAAGCTCGCGGTGGGGAACGCCGACGGAACTGGCTGCGAGTAGAATCCACCCGACGTCGCGGGATGCCCACCTTGACCCTGCGAGGGATGAATCTGCGGAGCATACTGCCCACCCCTCATGTACTTCTGCGCATCAAAACCCCCAGGCGGTCCCGGAGCTCCCATCCTCTCAACTCCACTCCACACCACGCTTCAACGCCACACCACTCTCATGCCACTCCCAAGCCTACTCCGCGTCCTCCCCTACGGCCTCACCTGCCATCAACCCCACTCCACCCCGCATCAGAACATGCCCCCCCAACCCTCCCGTCTTCCACACCCCGCCTCCTCGCGCGCATCCACGACCACAACCACACACTCACAATCACCCCACGCCACGCTCACTCGCCAACTCCCAACCCCCACGACATCAATCGCCACCACCGCTGCCGACCTTCCTCCCAAAATTCTCACGCCACCTCTGTCGCCCCTTCCTACTGCACCCTCTATGCACACTCATCTCCCAACTCCAACGTCATGTCCTCGCAATCATCACCGCACCTGCCACCGCCCATCCCCGACTCCGGACCGGCCACACCCACGCCGGCCACCATGCGCGCTCTCCCCGACACTACAAACCCTTCCAACGTCTTCTTCCTCCACTCCCCTCTTCGTGACAACCCACGCCTACCACCTCCGACCGCCAACCACGGTCCGCGATTCCGCCCAATTCACCAACCACCACAACTGTTTCGTCGACACTTGCTTTGTCCCGGACATGATGTTGCACTGCACGGCCCGGCCCGGCCCTCCAGGGCATAAACCTCCTAGACTCCTACTTCCAACTGGACTCCGATCCCTGGCTCTACAGTCACCCCGAATCGATCACCTTCCAAGGTCCACACGCCAGAGTACAACGCAATCCCCCTATCACCACCAACACACACACACACACTACCGGTCCGGCGTGTCCAGAGAATCGGCACCGTCATGCGGCATACAAGCGCGCGTTGTTACGTTCTCTGTCCCCACGATCATCCTAGCAAACGATCGGTGCGCTCAGGAAATCACCACAATTACCCTGCTTCCTTCCGAGCTACAAACTCCAGCTAAATTGCGGGCGTCTACAAATATGCATCTCCAAGGGCTCAGATTCATATACCCACCGACACCACCAATTTGCCTGATGTCAGCGCCCATTAGCTGGACTGCACTCCACTTGTTGCTTATAATTGTATTTGCCGAGCTGCTCGTTTATGGTAACAAGAAGCTCTCTATCGACGAATTGTTAATGAAATTGTTAAGTTTACAACACCACCCCGCTTATGATTACTGGCTTAAGGAATACAACCTTTCTAGCTACATCACTGAGCAAAATTGAATTCGATGTACATACCTTGTTAATCTCGTAAAGCGCGGCAGCGATCGGCAAGGAACGAAGCAGCCCTAACAGTCCAGTGAGGCACCGCGAGCCTGTTAAGCGGCAATGTCAGGAACAATAGTTTGTGCGGAATGAGTTTGCGAATCTGTAGGGCAAAGCGCAAGAAGATATCGTCCCGAGAAAGAGTCCTTTCCGTATAACTAGGGTTTGAGAACGGAGGGGATGACCCACTCGCTCACTTGGTGCGTGGACTTCTGCCTATGGTTGGATCACTAGACTCAGTGCGTAGACTTCGCACTACTGTTCCTTCTGCCGACTCAACTCATACAAATACAGACCGGCATGTCGACCAGTACGTTATTTACTGTGTAGTGTTTTTACTGTGATGCTTTTCGGCCTTGCCGTGCAATTCAAGTCTCTGATATGTCCATATTATTCAACAGAGCTCTTCCTGTCCCCACTGGTTTTGCAAATTGTCTCCACAGTTCAGGAAGAGTTGAGCCATTATTAGCTACTGTCTATTCCAATACTGAATAGAAGTCTTGTTCTGCAGTGGGGGTGAGGTCTTTAGTGCTATCAAATCAGGCATGTGTATGTATCCCACAGATTGGAAAAATAATAATCATTAAAAGAACAGCAAAAGCTTAATTCAAAATAAAAATACAAACAGGAACAAACAACAGAACAGTGTGATAAAAGCATTAAAGGTCACAAGGCTCCACAGTCTCCACAGTGGAATCCAAGAACAGTCTCCACAGTGGAATCAAGTACATGGGTTGCATTGATGTGGATATCCATAAACTCCATGGACATCCTTGTCAGTATCAAAGGTTATGTCAACAAAGACTAATTGTTTTTAATTGTCTTTTGTCTCCATAGAATGAGAGGTATAGCAACCATTGTTTTTTCTAATAGCCAGATATTTTATTTTTTAGTTTATTTTATTTTTTCATCTTCTTCTTCAGGCTTATTTCCACGTTTTACTGATTTATTGTTTTTGTTGTTATTTTTAAAATTTTCTTGACATTCATGGTGCACTGATGCAAAGTTAGAAGATATCATATGATATACACATGTGAATCTTTTCATTATAAAATTATTGGTAATTAAATTTTATTTTTAAAATTTATTGGATTTATCAAAAATATCATTTATTTTTAAATGTGATAAATATGAAAATAAAAAAAATAAAGTGTCTCAAGACTTACTATTGCAATGAGCTAAAATATTTTGGACAATGTTGTCTGAATAAAAAGAAATTCAAGCCTTATAACATAATGTTAATTGGTAATTATATTTTATTACAAAATAGTAGTATTTCGTCATAGTATGAATTATGTGGCTAGAATTCACTAATTTGTTATATTTATTTATTTATTTATTTTTAAGAATTTTATCACCTTATTTTCTATCTTTTTTTTCTATTCATATATCTATGAAAATACAACAAAGAAATATACACTTAATGGTACTTTTAGATATTAAGTATACCATATTAAACTATTGAAGATTTTATCTAGTAATAAAACTACACTTTGGCCATGTGGTGCATATGTTAGAAACTTGCCTTGCAAGTTAGACACATATCAAATGACTAAAGAACATTATCATATAGCTCTCTAATAAGATAATATATATAGAGATAATAATGAGGTTTTCTTTACTCTTAATAATTTCTTTCGTATTCTTAACCTTGTTTTTAGAGTCTCAAGTCTTCTTATCTTTGGCAATAGTCATTATAGATTTTATATTCTAACCATCTTTTAATATTTATTTACTATTTTTAGTCATACAATAGTCTATTGACTCTTTCATTACTTTGTGATTCATATCTTAGAAAATTTAAGAAGAATATAATTTTTTATTTTAATTTTGTATTAGAAGTGAATGAATTATTCCATTTCTTTTGTTGCATTTTAAAGTTTGCAAACTACCTATGTTAAGGACAATAACTCAATGAATGCAAATAAATAAGTAATATATTTTTAAATAAAGATAACAAAAAAAATAAAAATAAACATATACATTCAAGAAGAGACTAAAATGACTATTGCTAAAAGACAAGAAAACTAGACATCCTTAAAACTAGACTAGAAGCAAGAAAAAAATTAATAAGAGTGAGAAAGACTTGATTCTTGTCTTTATATATATTATTTAATTAATAGCTATATAACAACGTTCTATAGAACCTCCAATACACATCTAACTTGCAAGATATATGTTTAACTTATAAAATAAGTTTCATATATGTGCACCACATGTTCAATTTATATCACAAGTTATTGACATGTGCAATACATATCCAACTTGTTGACTTAATTTTTAACTTATCAATCACCTATAGACATGTATAAAAGCAAAGACGCAGCTATAAAGCTTCTAAAAAGCTTCTTTATAAGATATTATCAAATTTATTTATTTTAACTTGCTTCTACCAATTCAAATTATTTTGGTAATCATTGGAATAAATATGGATGTTCATAATATTATCCTTCTTTCTAAGAATAAATTCCACAATGAGCAATGATTATATGTTGAAGAAGTGGAAGATACAAAAAATTGTATTTGTTACAAACTATAATCTTTCTTCTCTTCAAAGGTAGTTGATAAGTTGTCTTAGCCATTGATTGTATTCCATACTTATGTAGTATTGTATATTGTGAAGTCTTAAATCCAGAAGGAGTCTTAAAAAAATTACAAAATAAACATAAAGAAGTTATAAATTAACTTTAAATATATATATATATATATATATATATATATATAATAAAAAAATCCTAAAAAAATATCAAAAAAATATTTTTAAAATATTAAACATAGAAATCTTATATGAATCTTAACCAAATCCTAATGTAATCCTAAACAAATCCTAATGAAATCTTAAACCAATTCAAATCAAATTTTAATCAAATTCTAACAACATTCTAAATTAATCTTAACAAAATCCTAATCAAATCCTAAACCAACTCTAATCAAATCCTAAATCTTAATTATATCTTAATCAAATTTTAATATAACACTAAATTAATCTTAATTAAATCCTAATATAATTCTAAACCAATCCTAAAAAAATCCTAAATCCAAACCAAATCTCAATGAAATCTTATTAAAATCCTAATCAAATCATAATAAAATTCTAATGAAATCCTAAATCAATTTTAATTAAATTTTGAATCTTAATCAAATCTTAATCAAATCTTAATATAATCCTAAATCAATATTAAATAAATTTTAAATTTTAATCAAATCTTAATCAAATCTTAATATAATCCTAAACCATTTCTAAATAAATCCTAAATTCTAATCAAATCGTAATCAAAACTTAAATCAACTCTAATTAAATATAAGGACAAAAACCTAATAAAAAAAATAACCAAATGAGACTTTTTTCAAAAAAATATGACAAAATAAAAATAAAGAAACATGTATATTAAAAAGAAACTAGAATGGCTATTATCAAAAGACAAGAAAACTAAAGACTCTTGAATCTAGACTAGAACAAGAAAAGAGTTGACAAAAATAAAGAAGACTTCACTCTTGCTACTATAAATACTATCCACCTAAGAGCTACATGGTGATATTCTATAAGACCTCTAATATATGTTGACTTTGCAAGGCACATGTTTTAACTTGCAAAACAAGTTTTTTATGTGTAAGCTACATAATTAACTTATCTCATAAGCTATTCATACATGTGATACATTGCTAATTTGTTGATTAAATTTTTAATCTAAAAGTCAACTATAAACACGAATATAGTCAAAATCATGTCTATGAAGCTTTTTTAGAAGATATTATGAAATTAATCTAATTTTATCTATTTTTACTTATTTCTACTTAATTTTATAGATAATTATTAGAATATATATATATATATATATATATATATATATATATTTGTGACAATATGTTTGTCATATTATTTTGTCTTTTAAAAACAAATTCCACAAGGCATGGTCATTATATGTTAAAAAATCTAAAATATGAAAAATTGTGTTTGCCACATACTTTGATCTTTATTTTCTTTGAAATAGTTAATAGGTCCTTTCAATCATCAATAATGTTCCATACCAAGATAGAAAGGCCACCCTGTTATTTGATTATTGTTGAGGCCTTCATAACTTCTTTCAAATAAAATATTTGAAATACCATCAAAAGTTGTTTCTACCTCTAATAAAATTACCAAATATTGGAAGTCTCTTCTATAGTCGTGATACCAAACATGTTGTATTGCACTATCTATTCAAGAAAGAACATGTCATTTTTAAGGATCTTCATCTTGATTACATCGTCTTGAAGGTTCAAATAATCATAATGTCTCATCCAACAAATCAACAAATAATAGCTCTTGAATTAAATCTACTGATTGTTGGTTCTCTATTTTCTTAGTACCTTAATATATATAGAAGCTATAAACAAGAATAAAAGTTAGAATATTATCTTTTTTATTTTTTATTTTTTCATAGCAAGGATTTGTTATACTTCATTTAGATTTTGATAGAAGTCATTGATAAAAAGCTTCTGCCTTCTTTGTGGCATTTGCAAGATTCTTTGTTGGCTCTCATGTATATTCACTAAGATCATATCGTTGCCAATAAACATGATATTTCAACCTATTTTAGTGCCACTTTGAGTCTAACACTTCTTTCACTTCAAATTCTTTATTATTGTCCACTTCTATAGGAGGAGGTGGGACTTATTTTCTTCTTGGTATATTCATTGTCTTATATGGTTTAAAAAGAGACATGCAAAATATAAGATAAATTTTTGTAGATCTTGATATGTCTAATCAATAAGTAATTGAATTGATTTATTTATAAATAAGAAAAGATCTAAGCTTATAATAGTCCAATTTGTTACAAAGGCAAGTAGTCTTGAAATTATGACAAAGTAATCATATCTTGTCATCCACATTGAATTGCGGTAGTTCCTTGTGATAGTCATTTGAAATTATTTTTTGTCATTCATAAGCTTCTTTTAATTGCACCTTGGTTGCTGTATTTAGCTTTAAAATGATTTGTTAAATCTTTTGCTGTAAAATTATTGACTCTTAAAAAGTCAAAAATATCAAATTATAAATAATAACCATAATTAGGAAAGAAAGATATTTGATGAGTAGAAGAGTGTATCATATTATTATAAACAAACTCTATCAATGATAAAAGAGTCGTCCAATCATCTTATTGGTAGTTAATTGTATACCTCAAATATTATTCCAAAACTTGATTAACATGCTCCATCTATCCATAAGTTTGAGGATA